AAACAATATTGAGATTTAAGGGCTTGGAGGTCTTTTTGAAGTTTCTTAATAGCTATGCATTTGCTGATGGGAAGAACCCTGATTATCATAAAAAAATAAGATCCATTTTTGTAGAGTTAAAAATATTTGAGGATCTCTATTGGAAGCAAAGGTGATGGGAGGTGTATTGAATTCTAGTTTCAACGAAAAGCATTTGATAATACTCTTAAAGAGTAATTTTGGAAGTGCATAATTGGTTCAGGCAATTATTTTTTATCCTTCATGAATCCCACTCTTCTCAATCAGCGGGGGGTATAGCGACTTGGTTGGCTCATTGTGTTTATGGGTAACTGCTTCTTCCATGATCCTGCTGCAGGGAACTGTTTGTTGGTTTTGCTGTTAGAAGAACTAAAAATGAATCGGAGCTTTTGATTCTACAATTCCTTCCACACTTTTCAAAAAAATCTATAATGAATAAAAAATTAAATGTTATAAGAACCTAAAATCTACAGCAACATGCCTACCTTTCTGGACCTCTCAATTTGGCTTCCATCTGCCATGCTGGCATGAGATCCCTTGATTTGGCTGGTTGCTCGTTGTACCATCCCCGAATCTGCCACGTTGCACCGAGGAACTCTTTGCCTCCTGTATAAATATCTTCTTCCTCAAAACGCCATTTTTTATCCTCGACTCATTTGCAATGCCTTTTTTCTACATTGGAGACTCCCCGTGCAGGCCTACGTATGGATTGCTTTCTTCTCATTGGCCTCTTCGTACCTTTCCTGCCTTTCCTTCTCATTGTGAGACTGCTATCATAATGACCTTGAGAAGCTTTCTCCAATAGCGAAAAAAAAGACTTTTAGGGTTTGCGTAGAGAAAGTGACATGGAGGATTTCTCGACTCCTTTGTCAGCCTTTTCCAAAGCCTTTGATTACTTAGACCTTACCACCCTTACGAGTGGTCACTCTCTCTCTCTCTATAACTTGAGCCTCTAATTGGGCAATGATGATAAAATCCATCACGCTAGGCGATCTTAATCCGGTTTAGGAATGCTTCCTGGAATGGTTCAGAGATCATAATGCTTCTCTTTATCGTTGGAGCAGCTTGGATGGCCCACCAATCTACCGGAAACCGCTGTCTCTGTGCATCGCTAGCATGGAGAAAGCTGGTGGATTTGCTTGATTTAGGAGGTTGTATGCCCAAATCATTCTTTCGTGGTGTTTTGACTCGAGTCACTGTTTCCTTAAATCCAAGGACAATTGCATTTAGGGCATGATCTTTAGCAGAAACTGAGAATTATTTAGGCAGGATTTAACTTAAATCATTCCAAATTTTGAAAATGACATGGCTAAAACATATAGAATCTTCAGTCCCGTTTCTCCCTAGTTTTAAATAATCCCGAGTTTCTAAAATCGGGCATTGGGGATATTACTTAAATTTTCAATTATCACAAGTAATTCTCCTCACTCACCGCTGATTCTCGCAAGATCCCCTTGCTTTTTTGGGAGGAATGTTTCTGATTTGTGGGAGTTAATATTTTTTCTTTTAAAATTCCTAAAAATGTTCCACATTTATTTGTTAAAACTGAAAATCTAGAAATGTTGAGAATGATCAAAGATGTTAAAAATCTACATTCATTTGTTTTTGAAAATGACATGGGTAATGTTTGTTGTTCGCATGCTCTCCATGGTAGAAAAAGATATCTGAGGCTATTGAAAACTTGAAACATTTTTTATGTTTGAATATTATCATAAATCTCACTCGGATGCCAAGTTCTCTAAGCAGTCTTTTTCATTTGTGGTTCATAATCTATAAAAAGGTGGTTTGGAGATCTTGCTCTTGATGATTTCTTGCCTGGTGATGTGAGTAATCTTTCTAATCTGCGTCACTCGGAATTGTCCCCTGTGAATTTTGAATAATCTTTTTTCTCACTGAATACATAGATAATTCACCTATAAATAGGCGAGTACAAGAGATAAAAAGAGGAAAGAAATCTTCCTACAATTAAGTACTGAGGAAAGAAATCTTCCTACAATTAAGTAATTCCTATAATTATGGAATAAACATAAATACCTATAATTAAAAATTACTCTTTATATACTATAACTAAATATAGCAAGTACTAAATAGAATTAAAGTAAATAATAATGGGTGTAATTCCAGACTCCCCCTCAAGGTGGGTTGTACAGATTGTACATGCCCAACTTGTTGGTTAGCTCATCAAAACTGGACTTAGGGAGAGTCTTGGGGAGAATGTCTGTGGTTTGGTCTCTAGAAGGAGTATAGACAAATTCAATGATTCTATTGTCCACCTTCTCTGAAATGAAGTTCTGATCAATCTCAATGTGTTTCGTTCAATCATGATGAACAGGAGTCTTTGCGATACTGATTGCAGCTTGATTGTCACAGAACATCTTGATAGAATTTTCTCCCATAATTCCAAGCTCCTTGAGAAATCTTTTGATCCACATTCCTTCACAGATACCAAGCGCAGTGTTCTGTATTCTGTTTCTGCACTACTCCGAGATACCACCGATTGCTTCTTACTTCTCCATGTCACTAGATTTCCGCATACATACGAGCAATACCCAGAGGTAGATCGTCGGGTGGATATATCTTCTGCCCAGTCAGCATCAGTAAAGGCTTCTACCTTTTGACTATCTTTTCTTTTGAATAATAATCCTTTTCCAGGTGTCAGATATGCTAATGTATAAAATTTGTGTGATAAATGTGTAAATTGCCCAATAGTCTAATGATATAGATTTGAACCAAGTTCAAATTTGGGTTCTAAGCAGTTTCAGAGGGCATGTACTTCAGTAAGCAACCCTCGATTATTAGAGATTATCTCTTATTAGTTGTAATTTTATCCAAAGTGGATTTTTTTCAATGTTTCTACAAATGAATATGTTGTGGGAATTTATGGCTAATTGCTTGTATCATGTGGCATACAAAGTTAATTTATTTTTGCTCATTGATTAATTAAATTTTATGGCGCACTCATAAACATTTTTCTTGCCAAATTTCAGAAAGATTTTTTATACGATTCGGTGTAGAGATTAACAATTTTTTTTGAAGAAATTAGGGCTGAAAGAAATTCTTATTGCAAAAATCCAAACAACTCGCATAAATAAAAAAGATAAGTTTCTACAATTCGAGAAGTAGGCGATCTCTCCCAATTCCTGCAATTTGAGTGGTAGGAAATCTCTCAAAAACTCTAGACCCAAGACTTACAATTCAATCTCATGCATCCCCCCAAATCCTAAACATATTAAGTCTATTTATACCCAAAAGTAATAATAATAAAAGACTAAATTGTCCAGGCATACAAAAGACAAACTTGCCCTTAGATTAGGAATAGACGCAAATTTTTTTCCTGAAAATTTTCCGCTTAATCTTTTGTTGTATGCTGTGACATGACCGAATTTTAAAATGGTTCAATTTCTATTATGCAATCCCAAACTAGTAATGCTACAACTAATGCTTTTACAACAAAATTATTCTTGAAAATTCTCAAATATAAAAAAAGTCTACTTGGATCTCAACAATAGTGATGAATTACTCAAATTTTATATCTTTGAATCCATGAATTCAAGTGTGTGATTAGGCGATATGATTAAATTTATCATGGGTCTTTAAGTATTCTTTGCTTTTCTCATGGCGATGGATTAGCTTGGATGGCTTATGCTTATACAAGTAATTGTTACGCCCATTTGTCTTTGGTAGGGAAGATGTTGAACTAGGGTGAATTTGAGCGTATGAATTCCCTTTTCCTTTCTACTTCAATATAATTTTAAAGTTAGAATGGCTTGCTCTCATTCTCTTTTACATGACCAATGATATTATAAGGTGCTTCAGAGATATTAATGCTTCATTGCTATTATGTTGTACAGGTAGATTACAGGGGGTAGAACGTGGATATAACCCCCCAATACCCTCTGAATAACCTCCTTGACGTACGCAAATTTTTCTCTTGGAACGGAGCAGCTATGATAGCTCATGAATCTTTGGACAACTGCTGCACCAGTTTCATGTTGACTAAGAAATGGGCGTATCTTCTTTGGGATAAAACACAGGCGAATCATTGCTTTTGACTCTTCATTTTAGTCTTTTAAATGTTCGCTTAGATAGATTAACTGTGTCGAACAGTTGTTATAGCAATTGTTCTTCCATGATATTTTCGTATGATAGTCTTATTTACTCCCCTATTTTTTTCTTTGTTTGTTTGTTTTTTTTTTTTTTTTTTTTTTTTTTTTTTTTCTTTTTTTTTTGTCAAGAGAAGGAAGTGAATTGGGGGCCAATAACAAAAATGACATTTTTAATTCCCACAGGCTCTGAAATCCCACTTTTCCTCTGTTTTGCCCAAAATCCAGGATTTAGTATCCCTTTGAAGAGGGCTTTACGTGATTTAGAGAAGTTGAATTGTGTGGGCTGGTGAGAGGAGAGCGGAGAAAGGTGAGGGTTACCCTCATTGGTTTTACGTAGGAGTGAAGCAGAAGGAGAAAGATGGGACTTTAGTGGGACTTTGTAGGCAGCGATCGCATTGTTGCTTCTCCGACTAGCTCCAATCATGACTGTCAGGAAGCTTTAGGTGTAAAGTCACGCTACTAGTCTCTTGAATTTTACTTTTTGCATTTATATCACCCAATAATGTTTGGATTTTAGATATGTAAATAAATAAAAATTGAGTGTTATGTATTGAAATCTCTCTCTCTCTCTCTCTCTAAACACTTTTTTTTTTGTAAACGAGCGAAACACGAGCAATTTTTTTTGCACTCGATATATAGACGAGTTGAACACAAACAAAGATTTGTTCGTTTGAGTTCTGCTAATTTTGTCGTGAAAAAAATAATATATATATATATATATGATTAGTATTTTTTAAAAAAAATTTAATCGACTATAAGGCTACAAAGATTTATAATCAATTAAATTTTAATTAAAAATAGAATAAAAAGATTTAAATCTTGCTCTTACCCTTAATATAACGGCTCGTTGTTCGTGAATAGCTCGCTAAGCAAACGATCCAGACGCGATTAAATATTTTGTGCTTGATATGTTTAAGAGCGGTACATGAGCATTGATAATTTTTTACGATTCTAGCACCGCAGATGATAAAATCAACATGAATGTGTCTGCTTGGATGACCTTATGCTTAGGAGGTAATCGCTGCATCCAATGTCATTTTTAGAGAAGATGTGGATGTATGTGCTTTTCACTGCTTTTTGATGGAATTAAGGAAATTCTGAACCGCAGCTTCCCCGTATTTTTTAACCTTTTTTTTTCTTTAGCTCGTTGGGTCTGTGGTGCTACATAAATAGGCCCTCTTCTGAGCACGGGAGTAGCTTGGATCGTCCATGCCTGTGAGTGGCATCTATGAAGGTAACTTTTGCTTCGATGATTTTTTTGAATGGCTATCCTATTTTCTTCTCTTATTTTCTAATGTGCTTTTTTCAAATTCAAGAAAAAGAAGTGAAATGAAATTATAGAGGATTTGCATGCATACCATTTAACGGTTATATATTTATTTAATATTTATGTTGGCCAGAAACATTAAAGTGGCTTCAATTTTCCAATTGTCTTTTATGTGGCACATGAGGTCTAATCTCTCTCTCTCTCTCTCTCTCTCTCTATATATATCAATAGATAGGTAGGCCAGGACACAGATGTTATGTATTAATACTTCAGAGGAGCTTTGCTCCAAAAGAATATAAGAGAGTTTGGTATTTTGTGGTTACTTTTTCAATGGCTCTCTAGAAATTTCCCCATCTCTGTTTGGCTATAATATTTTTTGCTGCTTTTTAAAAAAATTCAGTGGTGGAATTGAGCTTTTGAGAATTTTAGAATGTGTTTGCTAAGGAAATCTGTTGATTGAATTTTGATTTGCATATATATTTTGCAATTGTTATGTATTTACATATCTTACACAAACTTTGATTTTTGTGTTGGCACCAAAGATTGTCAGTCATTTGTTTGACTATTATGTGGCATATAAAGTTAAATCTCCTCTCTCTCTCTCTCTCTTTATATAGATAGATATATATATATACAATAATGATGTAGGTTTTCCATCTATAGTATCTCTTTTCGTGGGGGCGGGGGAGATATTTCAGACCTCACCTGCCCTAGAAACTATCGTTGATGTAACAGGTGGCAATATTTCTACTGAGTTTCTAACGCCTCATCAGGACGTACAAGTTGTTATTGTTACTCAGACATATGGTGCTCATGGTGTGCAACGGCCTACATCTTTCGCTACACTTTTGGACCAATCCACTGATCAGATGAGGAATGATACATCTAGGAAGAAGAAGAAGAAGAAGAATGAAGGCCTTTTATCAAACTTGATGGATGATACATTAGTTGTTTCGGGTAATGGCAGTAAACTTAACAATTTGTTAGTTGACTCCTGTCATAGAACCAGAGGCATGGGCAAGGCTAAATTGGATATTTCGCATGCTAACTGATTCTGTGAGTGTTGGCTGACTCTTGACGTACTTTTTTCTCTGTCTACTTTTTAATCCTTTTTTTGGGTATACATGTATTTATAAGTGTGTTGTATGATGGGTGGCTCGGGTGTGAATTTGGGCCCTGTTGTCCAAACTATTTGTACTTTTCCACACAATTCTTATATATTTACATGTATAGAACCTAAACATTCATATTTACATTAACATCAGTCAAATTTTTAATCACTTAAAAAATAGCACCAGTCTTATGAAACCAAAGTGTTCCAACTATAAATATCAAACTTTGGGAGTTGGGTATCTAAATATATATGAAATGTGTGGTATGCATGTAAATTTCCCTATATATAAATGAAAATTTGAATGCATCACCCTTAATTCTCATATATTTACCTGACTATTGCTTAAATTTTAATATTCAAGCTGGCGTCAAAGATTAAGGATGGCTTCAATTTTTTCAATTTTGCCTTTTTTGAAGCATCAAAGTTAAATTTCTCTCTCTCTCTCTCTCTATGTATGTATGTATGTATGTATGATAGTATGATAGTATGATAGCTGTCACAATTCTATTTTGACTCATTTTTTTGCGATTTTTTTATGAAATCTTACTGGTGATATTGAGCATTTTACATTGTTAGAATGTGCTAGCTGAGGAAAGTTGTTTATTGAAATCTCTCTTTATTATGCTTTGATAATGTGTCAGCACAAATCTCGAGGAGAGCCAACGTTTCAGAAAGCAAGAAAATAAAACCAAGGAAGGCACAAATGCTGCAAATCAAAACCAAGGCCAAAGGGACAAATTATAGCATGCCTATCTGTTTAGTTTTGGTTGATGTTTGTATAATGGGATAAATTTACGCCAACTTTAGTTCACAGAGTGCTCGGTGGTTTATTAAATATAACTCTCTGATTCACAACTCTAAGAAGTAGATTACCTTTACGAAAAATATGGGCTACAATCATGACCGTAATATAGCAGACATAAAATCAAATCTGTGTGTGTGCGTGCGTCTCAGCGTTCGGGCGGGCGGGCGGACCCGCATGTCTATCTGTCTAGTTTTGGTGGATGGTTGTATAATGAAATAAATTTACGCCAAATTTAGCTTATAGTGCGCTCAGTGCCGTATTAAATATAACACTCTGGTTCACAAATCCAAGTAGAATGCCAAATTTGTGTTTGTCTATGTATGTATGTATGTATGTATGTTTGTATGTGTGTGTGTGTAAAGATGGATTTGTTTTATTAGTTTCTTGCAATTTTGGCGAAGTTGAAATTCAGTTTTTGTTTCCTTTTTTTGTACAGCTGTTGAATGTTCTGTATATTGATGCCAGAGGATGATTTAGACTTGAAATTCTTGCTGTGTTTAAATACACAAGTAAAGTGCGTCATCTTCAAAAGAAAACTCATTAATGTGTGTCAGTTAGAGTAACTCTTTACCCTTAAGATAAAACTGATTTGTTTTTACAAAATATACATGGGAATGACAAGGTTTCTGTGTTTCCATCCTTGGAGGTGCTAAATATTTAGGGATTACAAGTATTGGAGGATTGGTTTGATGGAGCAGAAGCAGCAGCATATGACTGCTCCTTTCCTTGCTTAACTGAACTCTTCCTCAATAACTGCCCAATACTGTAGGAGTTTTCCTATTTGGCTCCTAGGTTCAAGAAAATGAAGACACAGAACATTGGATGGAAGGCTGCTTTGAACTGCAAGCAAGAAACCAACAACTGTTGCGGCATTTCAAAATCGATTCCCCTTGAAACATTAGAGGTCTTTTCATGTCCAAACATCACATCTCTTCTTTCTCTTGGTGGACTGCAACAAGTGGACAGTGGCATTGAGAAATTCCAGCTTATTCTCAGTGAAGTTGTTATAGATGATTCATCCTTGTTGCCAGCGGTAAGTATGGCCTCCTTGGAAAAGCTGAGAAGTTGTAAAAATGATGTGCTGGTTTCTTTTACAATTGAGGAGGAGCAGTGGTTTCCGCATGTAACTCATCCTTTCGTGAGTTGAGCTTTAAAGGCCTCAAATCCCTGCAGTCTCTCCCTTCCTCCTTGGAACACCTCTCTTCGCTTAAGATTCTATGAGTCGTAAGAGCTTCTCAGCTCCAGCAGCTTATACACATCCTCGCTTCCCTGGAAGAGTTACGTATTAATTACCTGGAATCGTTGCAGTGCCTGCCAATGTCTTTGTGGACTATCTCATCCCTCAACCGTCTAAGGTTAGATAGCATTCCACTCCTCAAATCTTTCCCACAACTCCCTCCCTTCTTGATTCAGTATCTATGTAGTCTTGATAACCTACAGGGCCTGCCATCTTCTTTGTCGGCCATCTCATCCCACAAGCCTCTAGATTTAAATGACATTCCACTCCTCAAATCATTGCCAGACCTCCCTTTGTCCTGCATATATTGTCTTTTTGAAGTCTTGATAACCTGCAGTACCTTGCATCTTCTTTGTCGGCCATCTCATTCCTCGATCTTCTAGATTTAAAAAGCATTCCACTCCTCAAATCATTGCCAGATCTCCCTTCGTCCTTGAAGGCACTGTTTCTATGGAGTCTTGATAACCTACAGTGCCTGCCACTTTTTTTGTTGGCCATCTCATCCATCAAGCATCTAGATTCCACTCTCCTTAAATCATTGCCTTAACTCCCTTCCTCTTTTTCTGGTCTGTATATAAATAATCTTGATAACCGACAGTGCCAGCCATCTTCTTTGTTGGTCATCCCATCCCTCAACCGTGTATAATTAAGAAGCATTCCACTCCTCAAATCATTGCCAGACCTCCCTTCCTTCTTGTATTCAATAAAAGTGAAAAATTGTCATCCAGAGTTGATGAAGCTTTGTAAAAAATTATGAGGCTCTGATTGGCACAAGATGGGGCTTCGTGATGACACAAAATCGATTGACATTTATTTTCTGCCTTTTTTAGGTTCTTTAGGGCTGCTATCTACTGGGTTGTTGACCTCATTTTTGTGAGATCTTAGTCTCCTACTCCCAGAACCTATAATCTAGCCTTAGGAGTTCCTGGTTGACCATCCTAGCGGACTAGTAATGGAGCCCACCTCCAACTTCAAGTCACTTCTTGACTCATTTTTGTGAAGAACTCGCATGAGTGGTTCCAAGCACTCAACTTTTAGTTGCAAGGGCTAAGGACCAACATGTAGAGAGCCCGAAATTGAGTTCCTATAGGATAAGCGGCCTTATGTGAACCTTTTATGACTCGATTACTCGCAAACGCCGCAATTCACGCACTCACTGCATCACACACTCACACACGACTTTGACTCTTTGACTTGAATTGACTCGTCCATCGGCGAACTCGTCCGAACGACCCCAGATGACGAAACAGACCACACCAACACGTCCGGAATGTCAACTTTAGCTAGAAAGGACACCCATATTTCTAGGGTTACACACGCGCACATATGGCACGGAAATCGATGC